GGCAATCCGATCTCTTTTCATTATTGAAAAAAAATAAGGGCAGAGATTTTAAATTATACCATTCGGTACTCGGCAAAGATTCCAATTGTTCATGCAGGAACAGAAACAGACATGAATTAACAGCGCACGCTTCCTATAGCGGCACGGGTGGCTTGTAGGAGATTTTGTTGTAAATACGCGTGGCAGTCAACGTGTTAATCGATACACGAAATTCTTTTCTAACCATTGTCTTGAAAATTACAAAACCGGGGTCACTAAAACCACTATAATCTATAAACTAATCATCAAAATGTCATGAAATTTTGACATGTATCGTTTGAAAGATGCTTCTATCCAGAAATCATATAGGTTTGTCAACAATGTTGCCATATATGTGTCAGACCTGAGACTTATTGAGTGACGTGTTAATTTATTTGATTCGTCTTTGCAACATTTTGACGTGTACAAAGTTACATTTTAAGACGTCGAACAAAATTTTCGAAAACGCGACTTACGCCAAGTATGCTTCTAACACACTCAGTTGCTCCAGTTTTAGTCGTTTATGTTCACCTTTCCTCGAAACCGCGAGTACAAAGACCGTTTTCCTGGCAGAAGCAGACCGTTGGGAAACAGCGAGGTAGATTAAGAAGTGACGAAAGAATCCTCTCTCTATTGTAAACACGGACAGCCGTTAATCGGTTAATCGCCGGAGGCGCGAGGCAATCGTATCACCTCGGTCGTTCATCGTGAGCCATTAGTATGATTTATGGAATCGCTGCGCGAATTATCCGCGCGACCATTAACCGGGAAACCGCATCGGCTGGCCGGTCGAACGCGTTTAATTAACCCTTTACACTCGAAGTTTTTTTTGAGTAATATTACCAGCAACTCGAAGCCATTTTAGTGAAAAGATCATATTCACATGTAAGTTCATGATATAAGCATTAAAAGAAAAGTCATCGTTGTATGTTATTATTTTTTTAATTGTTTATGGATACAAACGTCATTTGTCACCAACAGCGAAACATCCTATAACTAATTTTTACGATTTGTTTTTGTTCTTATGTTAAAAACTGGAAATTATTTGCATTGTCTCCGTAGCGGAGCCCTCGAGTTTGAAGACAAATTTTAAATGGCTCCGCTCCGGAGCCCTCGAGTGCAAAGGGTTAATTGCACGGTGTTTGTTCGCTCCGAGCTACGATTCGAGTCTGTCGACGACAGGTCAACGTCGATTCTTCCGTCGATAATTTGGTAATGTTTTCACATTGCAGGACGAGAGGGGGAGGCTGATGAGGAGAAACATCGTGAGGTACGCGGTGCTGGCGTACGTCATCACGTTGCAGAGGATTTCGTTGCGCGTTAAGAGGCGATTTCCGACGCTTCAGCACATCGTAGACGTTGGTCAGTGAGTTTACCATTCACTTTATTACGTTCGACCATTTCTCCTTCACGGCAAAAAATCACGACGTTTCAGGCGAACTCTCGCCGCGCCGCGCCGGCCGATTTTAATACCGCTCGCGCGTGGCCAACGGCGCGGCGAGATGTTACACAAATATGAAATTTAATGGCTGCTTTTCTAGCATTCTTTGAGTTTCTATAGACGACGAAAGTGGTGCGTTACGAGCCAGTTTTTTCTCTCTCGTCGCTCGATATCGACGGTGTAGTTCGCGATTGTTTTGGAAGCAAACTAATCGACTTATTTTTTTGTAAGTTTTACAAACTTGTTCACAAAGGTTTAAGTCTCGTCGTTCGATATCGAGGGTGTAATTCGCGATTGCTTTGGAAGCAAACTAATCGACTTATTTTTTTGTAAGTTTTACAAACTTGTTCACAAAGGTTTAAGTTTCGTCGTTCGATATCGAGGGTGTAATTCGCGATTGCTTTGGAAGCGAACTAATCGACTTATTTTTTTGGAAGCTTTACAAACTTGTTCGCAAGGGTTTAGGCTACATTCAGGAATTTGTATGCGTCGCTGTTATCGGTATTATAATAGCTACTCACTTTCCATGCCTCATTGAGTGCACACTTATGCAAACAGCATAGTATGGGACTTTTTTTCCGAACGATCCAAACAACGCAATTGTACGAAACTGTGCGCACTGATTACGACATATTTGAGATACGTTCACCAATTTTTGCGAGTCTGTGTCTTCGATGTCACAGCAATTGTTCGTGATAAATAAATCGCAGTTCGATAGTTCGCACGAAGAATCTTTTCGAATGCAAAATACATACACTTTGGCGGCAAGCGTACGATTCGCAGCGTTCGTCGTGTTCCATAGCGACGTCAAGGTCGTGTAACTAATTAACGCACACACGGATCCCACGATTAACCATCGCGTTTGGCCGGACAAGGACGTTATAACGACAGATGCGCGCGAACTTCTTCCAAAACGAGATGCGCGTCAAGATTTTTGGTACTACCGGTAGAATTACAATTGCTTTTCAATTAACAATTTGTATGTGGCCATTGTATGATAAGCAGCGCCGTTCGTACACCGGGACCGTTATTCGATCGTCATTGGAACATGCAGCAAACGTAGCCTTCAAACGATTCTAACAAAGTTCGTCGCAGGACGAGAGAACTTTTTCTGTTTGACTTTCTATTTGCCGCTTCATCGACGTTGCGAACGTTCGTTCAAGAATTTCGCAACCTGGACATCCTTCAAATTTGCATACTTTTGTCGCGCATCTTTATTTTCCTCGTTCTAAATTTATAAATTGCCGTTCCATGTAAGATCTAAAATTAACTCGAACAGCTCAGGGGATTTTTAATCGCGTGTTCCAGATCGATGAAAACTACTGAATTTTTAATGAGCGGTTTCGTAAAAAAAAACCAGAATAAATTACCAGTTTCCGAGAAAGACGAAAAAGCAGCTGAAATATTAGCACTGTTTTTGCCGTGTTTCATTATGCCGTTAAATACTATTAACTATTGGGTTGGAAACTATGAAACGGACGTTTTCGTTTAGTCTGTGTTCAGCTGCGACTGTGTTCATTGTAATGTGCGCTCAATATTTTTATTTATAAATTTTAAAGGTATTCTTCTTACTTATTTCGTAAAATTTTTGTCGCGTTTGTATCCCATTTTTATTTTATTTTTCGCCGGAACCAGATGGAAACAAAACGCGATTTACATCATTCAACGCCCGTTTCATAGTTTCCAACCTAATAATACTACTATAGGAATTACTATTCTTGGATAGAACGGGCTTTTTTAACATCGAAACGGTTTCTTTTTTCGTGCCAAGTGAAATTCGAAGCACTGTTCCCAAGACGTTCGTTCGTTAACGCACAACAAAAGGTTCAATCACACTGCAAACAGTTCCCGAGACGAGCTCTCAGATAAAACGTCTCCGCGATTACGAGATTGTCGCGATCTTTGTAATCCGCCGTCGCGAGATGCAACGCGATAAATAAAACGAACAAAAGGAAACGCTGGGAAGTTTCGTGCAATTTATGGCCAGAGTCGCACGAGCATCGAAAAAAAGAACGGACGTCGGTCGTCTTTTCTTGTTTTTCTAGTCGAAGACGAGGATAAATTCTCCTTATTTTCTACTGGCGAAACAAGGAGGGACACAACCAACGTCCGTCGATTTGACGGTCGTGCGACTCTCGCCCGACGCGATTTAGGTGACGCGTTACTCGCGCGCTGCCTGCGTCGGCATAATATTATCGTAAACATTGCGATAATCGTCGAACGTGTCCACCAACTATTTTTAATCCAGGTAAATATCCGCTAATGTGTTTGTTTCCGCTTGAACGAGAATTACGACGGATCCCTCGTTTATCGCGTTGTCTTTAATTCTCGTAAATTATGAACGCGAACGTTATCGTGAATTATTCATCCTTTTGAGAATGTGTACATACCGATGGGAAGCGAATAAGAAAATAGGGGGTCTCGCTGTTACAGAGACAAGAAAGTCGTGACAAAATGCAGAGCGATTTGTTTCAACTTTAGCGACTTGTTTTGCTACATAGAGAGAATCTCTTAACGAAGAATTGCATTCGCCGTGAAATGGCACTCTTTGGATAAATGTTCCAATAAAATAGATTTGTTAGAATATGTACACATTAAAAGTTCCATGGAAACAGATTCTTTTAGAACGTTTATTTAAAAAAGTCACTGTAAAATAATTAAACCACTGAATTATTACACGCACGGATTTATTTAACAATGTTATCATTTTCGGTTTATAACCAGAAGAATTATTTAATACTATTTTTATTTTACTAAATAAAATATCTGGTATAGAAAAACTTTTATCTGTAGATATTATTAATCGTAGTTGAATTAAAACTTTCGATCTCAAGGATTCCATTATATCTGTTCTCATTCGAGCTTATAATGCGAGAACTTTTTTCAAATAGTAATATATTATAAAATATATTATTTTATATAAAATAATATATATGTATAATATATATATAAAATAATAATATAATAATATATATAATAATAAAATAATAAATATATAATAATAAATAAAATAATAATATATAATAATAATAATATAATAATATATGTAATAATAAATTAATAAATATATAATAATAAAATAATAATATATAATTTTATAAAAATTATATATTATAAAATGTAATATATTATATGTAATATATTAAATGAAAAAGTTCTGTCACTTTTCCAAACTACAACAATTTGAAAGAATTCGACGAAATTCAGCAGCTCGTTTCTCACTCTGTCGACGATTCAGAAAATGTATCCGCGGATCGTTGACGCAATTTATCCGACTTGGTCGATTAAAAATATCCCCATAGGATTCTTACGGTATCGAGAAGCAAATGGAAGAAGCGGTTTCCCGGGACAGGACAAGAAAGCCGCGTATCGGGCTTGTTTTTACCGAACGGTCGGCGTCGAGGATGCGGTTGTCGACTAGAAATAGCACGCATTTTTCCAGTCCGGGTTCCGCGAATCTTCCATGAACATGAGTCCGGGGGCCTGGTCGGGAAATAAGTGGCGGCGGCCACTCGTAAGAAACGATCGGTCCGTGGAATCATCGACATGGAGCACGCTGGCCGCAGAAAGAAACGTGCTCGGCCGAAGAAACCCTCGAAGACGATCCAAATCCGTTGCGCCGGTCTCCGCGGCTTCGATAAATCTCCATCAATAATTCATGCAGCGAGAACAAGCGGCGCGGACAAAGAAGAAGAAGAAGAAGAAAAGTAAGGAGCGGCGACAGTTTTTCCGATGACGCAGGAAGCGGTTCGACGTCCAATCGATGATCGCCGATGCCGATTACTCGCGCGCGACGTTACGTCCTTTCGAAGGATCATGTCGGCTTTATGGTCGCTGACGGAAAAAACATGGCGCCCTGGCTCGCCATCGGGAAGCAGGAAGCCGAGCCTCGCGATTTAAAAGGCTGCGGATCCCCCGTTTAGGGCGCAACAATGCAACCAAGAGTTTTCTATGGACATTCGTCTTTCTCGTCTTTCATTGCGGCAGCTTTGATCGCTATCGGTTGATCTTACGCGCGCCCATTTCGTTATCATATCTTCGTCCGAACTGAAGATTACGGTTTGTAGGATTAAAAAATAGGTCTAATTAAAAAAGGAATAATAATTCTGCAGTTTTGGTTTGGTTGGTTAAATTATTTTCGTTTTGTTGCATCATCTAGGGTGACGGTTCAGTCAGTATGTTACTCGATGATACAATCGCCACTATCTTGAATAATTTCGTCGTCTGTTTATAGAATCCGAGAAGTCCGACTTCTATGACGTAAAACCTGCGTTTTTTACGTGCGTAATCCTTTCAGATACTCGCAAGAAATTCTTCTAGAGTACAGTAAATTGTTACGAATTGTCTCTCAGCTTGTAAACAAAAATGGACAATTCGGGAAGAGGAGACACGATTTTTATAGTCGTCGGTTATCAACAACTATAAAAACGAGCCGCGAGGCTCGAATAATCGTATCTGCTCCTCCCAAATTTTCCATTTTTGTTTGCAAGCTGAGGGACAATCCGAGAGAATTTATCGTACACAGTGAAATCTCCCGAATTAAACGATCTAAAATAATATTAGTCGAACAGTTCAGAGATCCACGTAATTAATCTTGACATTCTGGAACGATTTATGGTCGCATCGAATATTGCTACTAAAAAGCTCTTCGATTTCGCAGTGTAACTTAGCGACTAAAGTTGCTAAAAAATTGCGCAATCTACTAAAATCGGTCCTCCCGATACCGAGGCGGTTCCTTTCATCCGCTCTCTGGTCTTGATAATATGTTAATTTCGCAATGACGTCAACGAGCATCGTTCTTCTTGTTATTCGTCCGATCCAGACGAACAGCGTTGCGAAATTTTTCCACGATTCAGCAACTCCGTCAGTAATACATATTTTTCGTAAGAAAAAACGCGAGCCTCCCGAGGAATCTGGGTTG